AGATCTCCCACTTACCTCGAAGGATATTTAGTATGAGACTTCTCGGACTCTCTGCAATCGTTATGCTTTTCTATAGTTTAAGCTAACGATTATAAAAATGAGGTATTTCTATTACCAACTGTAAGTATTATCAACAAAATTCCTTTTGCGACCATCGCCATAACCAACGTAGCGAGAATATATACAAAGCTCAAATATCCTTGAATATTATTCGATGGGTATCCGAAATTCCTCTAACGCTAACTGACAAAGCTTCAATTGCCTTCATTAGTTTCGATATTCTGTTTTTCCGGGATAAAGAAAAAATTGTAAAAATAATTTTCAGCATTCGTATTGTTGTCATTTACAATTTATACAATTGCGAAGCAAATTAATCGTATGCACTCGCGCGGAAATTACGTGTCCTGAAAAATGTTGTTGTACATCAATGCTTGCTTACTCCTGTTAAAGTTCTCTAGCAAATACCTCACTGAACGGTTCTTGCCTAATGGTCCTTTGGCCAAACTTGAAGTGGTAGCACTCAAGTGGCCGACTAGTAATTAAAGTTCGACAAACATTTATTCCTACATTTACTTACAAAAGTTTCTGGTTTTTTTTTTTTTTTTTTTTGCCTTTTTTCTCTCAATTTTCTTGTTTTTCCTTTTTTTTCGTTTGGTTTTCTCAGTTGTTTACTTGTTGTTGGCTAGCTATGTAATGGATGTTGCAGTATAATAAGCGCTGCCCCCGCCGTAAACGGTAAAACATCAGAAAATAAAAATTAATCGTATTTCTGTCAAGTTCGGTAGGCTCGCTCGTCCAGCACTAATCTCAAGTACTTGTGACAAATTTGTCCAAGTGTTTGGCTTGGTTAACAGAAATCGCAAAATAAAAAGTTGTCCTACTTTAATGACAAGTCACGTGAAACCACCGCAAAGAAAAAAAAAAAAAATTTTTTTTTCTCTTTTTTTTTTTTTTACTTTCTTTTTATCTCTTTAGAAATATAAAATAATTTAACCCTGCAAGAGTGGCTATGAAAAGTTTTGTCAAAGACAAGCATTAACTAAAGGAATTAGCTTAACTATTAAATTGCTTATTAAGGTTACCCATAACTGAAAATTTAAAAAAATTCAAAATACTCTTGGCGAGCTTTAACAAACAACTTTTAATTTATAAAGTCAACGAATGTATTAGTTTGGCGTCTTTGTCGAGAAAAAGAATAGATTACGAAATATTTTCTTGAATGTCTTGAAGAACCTTTCACACGTCATCATTTTCAAAGGTAGTGTGGAGTTGGTTTCAAGGAGTTTTTCATATATGTTCTTCTATTTTTGATACCTAGAGATATGCTGTGGCATGTAATTCCATAGAGGATGTCTATTAAAATAAAGACGAATTGTTTTTGCCCGTGTGGCAGATTGGTTCGGTCCGCTTTTTTTCTCGTGTAGAGAGAAGTTCACGTTTGGAAAAACCTGATTTGGTATTTCTGTACATACATCATTAGTAACCAGTTATAGTCTATTGAATTCACTTATTTCAAAAAACTCCATTGATATAATTATGATTTTAAAATGTACGGTAATTAAAAAACTTACGATTGTTTATGTAAAATCCTACTCAGCGGCTTCAATCCTCTTCACAATCTTCTCAATTCATCTCAATGATTGCAACTTTGGAATTGCGGTTTAATCTTCTTACTCTCTGTGTGTCTATAGTCGTCTCGTCTCTCTGCTCACTTCTACTTTGCGATCTAGTTTATATTTATATCTACCACTGATATTTCTTCCTATTTCTTCTAAACATATTACACATATGAATGTGAGATGAAAACTTAAGGAAAGTGTTTGCAAACGAAGTTAGAGGTAAAGACTTGCGCTCAAATTGTATATAAGAAGTTTTGCATACAAGGCTTCATTTGCATTTCAAACTATTTTTGGTTTTCCTATAAAATCTTAAAAAATTAACTATTAGTTGAACTTACCCTTGCAATCTAATCCAGAGAATTTCTTCTTTTTTTCTTTTTTGTCCACGACGTCCCCTTTAAGTCTAACGCATTGCTGGTCACAAGGAACTGAGAAAAGATAAAGACATAAGAGGGAAAGCGTCTAGAGCCTAGTGGGTATGTGTCCCATCGGCAAGTGTTACGCCAAGTTTAATACGATTATGCATCTAATATAACATGCTACAGTGGGATTTGAAGATTTATAGCCGCGAATATCGACTTTGTAGTTGAGTCTCTTGTTTATGAAGCTACGAAGACTAAGTAGAAAGATTCGTGCACGTTGCCTTTCTGCTTTAGTATGTTATAAATTGGATCAGAAACTTGATGTTTACGTTTATAGCTGGCGAGAGCCAATTAAGGTGAAGATCCTTTCGCACTTTTTCAATAAGCATAATAATGTGACTCAAATCTAGTGATCGAGATTCGGATATGAAGGCTTGCCATAGTGACTAAAAGTTCAATCCTACTTCTGAATAAGTAAGAAAAGAAAATTTGATATGTTACTTACCCAATGAATGCATCGTTGCTTTATGGAGATGAAGTTTCCGCATGGACTGAAGCAAACTGATATATAAAAATAGATGAAAATTTTCATAAGTTTTTACAGATTTATCTACATACCGGTGGAACCTAGGTGCATAAATCTTAATTCACTTTATCGACTTCTGCGGAGCGGAATCAAAAACTAATTCAAATTTAAGTCGTAGCCGTTGGTTGTGGTAAACAAAAGTTGTTCTTAAGAAGTTCTTAATAATATGTTCTCTAGCGACTAAAGGTATGTGAATGTGTTTTCTGGCGACTAAAATTGTTCTCTGTTATTATTCATTCTCTTTGACTTAACGCAAGAAGCATATTTAAGTGCTTTTGGGATTTCAAAAAATTTATTACAAAAACCTATGAACAGACAGGTGTAAGCTACTAAAAATAACGTCACGATGAAGAGAACATTTTGGTAGGAAATGTGTACATATGGAATTTGCGTATTTTTTTTGTCTTCGAGGATCAAGTTAAATTGACCTGTTTCCGTTTGCTTCTACGCCTCCCATATCTCAATGCTTATAACTCTTTGCTGGTTTGATGCCTTTTTGTGTGTCAAGCGTGCAATTCGTCCTTGGTTTCCTGTACAATCAATACTAAAGCGTAGCAAGGTCAAAAAGGAATACAATTGCAGAAAACGGGCAGAGGCCTGGAAAAAGCTGTTCACTTTATATGAAAGCAGCTCGTCTGCTCAGCTTATTTAATGCACTTGAACTAATTTTGCAATTTTTGATGCGCATCAAAGATGAGGCAATACTTGATTACTTATGATATTTTCCGCACGGCCAACGGCTTCAGAAAATAACTAAAACTTTTTTAGTGGAAAATCCTTTCTTAGTCTTTTAATACTCTATTCATATGTTGCCAGTCTCCATCCTTCCTCCACATGCCATCGCAAATATTCATCACCAAGCAGGAATCAATAGGAACGTGGTTGCCATATAAATCCCTAGCATAACTAGCATCAAAATTTCGCAAAGATTACAAACTGCTGTCAACGAATAACAAAATCCACATTTTATTTTGAAATGTAAATTTCTAACGACTGAGGTACGTGGAAAACCATTACCTGTTTATACAATTTTTTCTATCACAAAAAGAATTTTAAAGACCATCACAACACTTAAAAAGAAATGAAAAAACGAACCGTCATAAAAAATGGAAATAAGGCAAGTAAGATAAAATCATATTCGCTTTGTGACGACATCGACCGCTTTACTATAAAACAAGACATGTGCTAGGAGTGCAAGTATGAATGATGGATAAGTTTTTCGAAAAAAAAGTTGTTAAATCGAGAAGAGCGGGAGATAACAAGTTGTTCATGATCACATATCTCCATATGTCGGGCATTCTATGGATAAGTAAAAATCTTTTCCTTCCATCGCAAACCGTTTATCTAACCATTTTTTCAGCATTTTCTTATAAAATATTCCACATGCGTTTTTGGGTTTCTCCAAATGTCAGTCGCTGTGTTCATATAGTCATATGATATCCGTACGGATATCGAACTTTTAAATCTGTTCCATTTCTCGTAGGCGATTAGAATCATCTTTTTAACTAACTCCTAAGTAATCTGCAAGGTTTTTTTTTGTTCGCGTGTCGTTTGCAATTTTGCATCTTCAACGAAGTCATTTTTTATATGCATTTTACGATGGATCATTCAACAGAAATCTTCCTCAAATGAAAAGCAAATGTTAGCACTCTCCGTGAATCTGCTTAATTTCGGCATAACGAACGCAGCGCAACAATATTACACAAGTATTTTTTCAATTTGTCGCTTAAGCGCATCAAAATGCTATAATAAAAAAAAATGTATATATATATATATATATATATATATATATATATGAGAGATACTTGTGCTGAACACGGTACTGGTGAGTCATGTCCTTCTCAACTCCATATTTCATGCTTGTACACTTACTAAACAGGTTAAGCATTTTATTAATTGGGAGCGTACCAGTTGGGCTGGTTTGGAGCTGCTTTGGCCCCACCTAGATAGTTTTATTTATTATTATTGTTATTATTATTATTTTAATATGACCAATCACTCAGTGAATACCTCCTATTGGTGTAGAGTTGCGGTGGCAGCAGAAATATGTCCAATCGTTAAGTGTTACATTTGTGTGTCTGGAAGAAAGTTCAACAAGTGAGCTAATGAATAAAAATGAAAACTAATACCTTTTAATATTATTAGCGTGCAGCTCCATATGCCAAAAATTAGAACGTAGGACACTTGAGCCGAAACAAACATTATGTGTAAGTCTTACTTCAAGCGAAAGACTGGTGTCTTGTTGACTTAATAATATACCGGCCCTAAGGAAAAGTAGATACCTTCGCTGAACGTAGACTATGGGCGTGTTTTTATAGTTTCTTACCATTCAAGTTTACTTGCATTACTCATCTTGACAATGCGTTTGCTTTAAGATTAATTGATTAATTCCTTGCATAATTGAATAAAATGCATTTGTTTTTCTATTTCCAGTTATTTCCCTTTTATTTTCGGCAATACATGGGGATGAGTCATTGGATACACGTGAAGGTGTCGATTTGGTATTGAAATGTCGTTTCACCGAACATTATGATTCGAAAGATTTTACATTTTATTGGGCTCGCTGGACCTGCTGCCCAACTCAGTTTGAGAATGTAGCGATTGGTGATATTCAACTTAATTCAAACTACCGGTAAGTGTGCATAAATTTCATGCGAAAAAACTAAAAATATATGAAAATATTATACATATACATATATCATATAAGAAAGAGCTCGTTGCTGTTTTGTTTTTTCTTTCTATATATATTTTTTTTTTTTAATTTTTTTTTACTATCTTTTATTCATGCACTTGAGAGCTATATATGACGTTGTTTTTGAAAAACAAAACTAAAATAAAACTTTTTGTGCACTTTTCTTGTTCAAATGAAATTCATACTTTGTTGACATTTGTTTATTTATTGTCATTCGGTTTCGCATTTGCGCTTGTTTACACTGGGTGGCGGCCAGCGCCAATCGTAGCATCGTTGTATTGCCTAAACCGGCAATAGGTACAATAACTTTAGATGCAACGGATTGCCGCATGGACTCCGGACAGTAAATTTGCCCAAAACTTACCTGAATTATTTATGAATACACACATATGAATAACATGCTTACTTGCTTGCTTGCTTGCTTGGTTGTATACAGCTTGAAGTGACGCACAAAAGCGAATTAAGTGAAAGCAAGCGCAGTGCATTAAATTAAATCAAAATCCTGGTACCGAAATGGTACAACTCAAGTGGTTACACTTAAAATAAATGGCTGCCGGAAGTACATGTTGACAGGTCGCACTTTTGCTTGCGACAACTTCCGTCAGGCATAATCACAAACATATAAACACACAAACATATAAACACACACACACGCACACAACCAAACACTCATATATACATACATGCAGATATAAATGATATGGTCGTGGTAGCATATTTATAATAATTACGAGCAAGTGTGTATTATTGTGCTTTACTGCGCCCAACTAATTTACAAAACTTTTCATATGTGCAGACAAGTAAGCAAAATGTCAACGTGGTTTAAATAGAATTTCGCATACCCAACGCATGCATACGCTTTTAAACCCGTACACAGTGTACGGTCGTTTTCTTTCTTCTTTCAAAGTGTTGAAGAGTTTTGTCCTTTTCATATTGCCCGTGATGTACGTTATGAAGGCGCAGCTTTCTATTACGCTGATCCAACGTTTACGTATAAGTTAACTTTTAATTTTATGCTGCTTGTAAAATATAAGGACGCCCAAAAGCATGTTTACACATACACTTAGCTAAGTAAGGAGTGATCATGAGTGATGGGCTTTTATGTCGTCTACTAAAGAACGGGCGTGCAAAACTGGTTGTCGTGTTTGTAGCATCCATCAAGATACACAAAGATTCTTATGCACAGTCAAATTTTTAGCAACTATCTTTATATGCGGTTTCCCGCATTTGTTGTTTTGCCTTTCTCTCCCTTAGCGCCTTGATGAGCTTTCAAAGCACCAATGTTAGGTATAGCTGTATATGATTTCCTGTCTATTTGCCTATTCGTTTTCGAGTTGACTATTGGTTCATCTATTGCTTTGTGAATTTTCCAGTTTTTTCATTGCATTTACGATATCCAAAATAGCTTGTAAAAGAGTCTTAGGCAACATCGAATAACTACTATAGCTATATAAGTTGGTCTGTCCGTACGCCCATTCTCCTATTTGTAAAGTATCGATTGATTTATCCTTTTGCGGCTGAATTTGCTCAATGTTCTGCTGCACATTGCGAAAATCTACCCCCTGCCTTCTTAAGAGGTCATCACCTCTGAACCTTAAGAGTAAATTAAAGCAGTTTAGCAGCAAATCTTGCAAAATTAGAAGACTGCAGCGGAGAAAACCAATAATTTTGAAGTATATTTTTCAATAGTCACTTAACGGTAGCCTATACCAATCAAAAATTTTCCGCAGGCAGAAAACATTGTTCGAACTACAACAACAACAAGAAGAATGTGAACATTCCCTTTAAACCTTCACTGGAGGCCCATCATTGGCAATTTTCATATTACGTATATGCTTTATATAGTGGACATCCAAGATTCGCCTTACGATGAAAACATTTTTCTTACTTTCCGTTATGGTTTGGTGTTTTCTTTTTTTCTCATTTTCCTGTCTTTTGCTCTAATGTATACACGCGGGTATGAATGCAAGCATATACATGCATGTGTTTATACTTAAAAAAAACAAAATTTCACTACCATAACATAAAAATCGGTTGAATTTCATTTGGCGTAACAATGGTGATGAAGTTTTACTTGCACATACACACACATTGGAGGTATATGCTCTTTTTTTTTTTTTTTAGTATACAATGTTCACCTGAACACTTGACCAAACATTCTGTTGGCGGAAGGCATAAATTTACACTCACAGAGTTCATAAATTTTTAACCAACTTTTACCGAATTTCATTCCCAGGAATCGTTATGGAAATGTTTTAAGTGGTAAACAACTGTGACGTTCCCGCACACATGCATACATATGTACATATATATGTGGTATTCAATTTTCGGGAGGTTATACAATAAAAATTTATTTTTGAACAAGAAGAACAGCATCACAGAAATGCATTTTTTTGCGAGAACTTATTCAATAAATGTTGACAAGTTTTAAATTGATTTATTACACCTTAGGTATTCATTTCTATTGTAAAGTTTTGTCAAACCCTTTAAAATTTTGTAATTACTAAATAATTTCAATATATCCGCACTGTTCTGTAGAAAATATTCATAGAATTGCTCACAGTTACAGATATGCTCAAAACAAATGCCTTGCGTATATACGAGGATCGATGAAAAAATCTGAGAAAGCTTTAAACTTATCTTCTTGTGATTCGACAGATATTAAAGTGTTTGGAAAAATTTAGAGAAAATAGAATGAACGGCAAATCCATCTTGAAAAATAATCAAAATAAGACAGAATCGCTTCTCGAATTAGAGAGTCCGTTTACTTCGCCTGTCAGATCTGCATTAGAATACCTGATCATTATCTGGTTACCAATTTAAAAGCCTTGCATCGACTTATTATGGCAGGATCGGCTCAAAAGCAGATGTTGTTATTCGTTCTACGAGGCTGCAGTTGGAACACCTCAATAAGTCTGCCGCCGACATTCCTTGCAAAGAAGAGACAATTACATCAGCCATTCCTTTTCTCTCTAAATAAAAATAAAGGCTTATGTGAATTCTTCATTCTTACTTGATCAAATTAATATCCATATCCCTAACAAACATATCAGAAACTATTTTTGTACTAACCACAAACTATGCGTTGCATCGAATAATTCTGAGAGTTAATTACAACTTATGGAGACTATAGCAACATGGTGTGAATATTAGCAGTTGTAGTTAGCACGCACTTTAAACTGATTATTGATCCATAAGTAATTTATTCGTAACATATTTGTTTAAAGCTTTCTGTTGTCTAATGTCAGTTAACCTTTCGCTAACTTTTTTCTTTTTAATTTACTAATATCTGTTTACCTAATTTGAAATGCGATTAAAAAAAAACTTAAGCATTTGTAATACGAAAAATTTGATATTTTCAAGAGAGAAACCTTCAGCATCCACTTTTATTCGTTGTGTTATATAATCTATTCAACGAATTTTAATAACAATGCCGCGCTCTATTTTCAATAACCCTGAAGAGTTAGCTGTCACGCTGTGTTCTTCGTTCGTTGACAGCGCTTTAATAAACAAATGTCGTAAAGCTCACAGCTTGCGTGAATTCATGAGACAGCTTGTATAAGGACAAATATTAGCCCTATGGCGAAATTGAGACATTCGCTACCTTATACTAAAGTATTTTCTTAGCCATAAGCGAGTCAATATATTTGCTTGCAATTTTTCTTACAATAATCTTTCCTTTATAAGGCTTTGGTTCCAGGCTTAGTTCTATACCTTTAAATCGAAATTTAAGTTTATTACTTCTTCTGGTCGTATTCAAAGGCAGGTTGCGCTCATCTTTTACATCACTCCGGTAAATATATTCCTAAACAGTCAGCAAAAACTATTAGTACTAATAATAGTAATTATATGTTCATTTTCTTTTTGTCTATTGAAAGTGTTGCTGTAATTCATTTAAAATCCGATCTCCGCGTATTAGCTAAAAACGATTACGGTGGTAAACCAAAGGAATAGACGGACGGATAGATAGACTGGATCGAATTGCCTTCGAAATAAGGCACCTTTCTACGATATATATATCTTATCCTATCTGATCGATATAGCCAAGTGGAGCCTATTTTATTGTTATTATATCCGAATTTTCAATATCCTCGTGTTTGAATCTTAATGCTACAATTTTACGATTTATAATTTATCAAGTAATACTTTTTTAATTGCTTCCAGACGATAAGCTTCTCCAATGTTTCCATTTTCAGTTCATAAAAATCGTTCAGACAAGTCTCGTGGTCATCATGGTTTTGAATTGTTCCAGCAATAATAAAATATTAAATTATGGCAAAAAAAAAAAAAAAAAAAAAAAAATTAAATCAAAAACGATATTTGCCAGAGAATGATAAATATGAACCGCAAAAAACAATAAAAGCAGTGCCAATCTTTTGGTTGCCGTTACATCATCAACAACAACTCTAACCACAAGTGTTACATGATTTGTATATTATGTGAATGGTATCGTGCATATTGCATTAGGGTGGAACGCAATAAATTGATGATTCTATCTTTGTAAAGAGCTTAGTAAGCTACTATCTATCTTATCATCGTGATCTGAAGGCAAATCCCTATGGTTACTAAATGAAAAAGTATGAATGAAATTTATACGTCACTGTAGAGGAATACAGAGCGCAGAGTTATTGCAGATTTCGTTTAAAACTCAAAATTTTCCTAAGCCACAATATCTTCAATTAGGATTGTGCCGGAGACGTTGTAAAAATCCATATGAGTATAAATCAGAACATCACGAAAATTAATCTGATATTTAAGGAATAGGGGCAAGCATTCTGAATATTGTAAAACACTTTGCTTTGCTGTAATCGCTTGTAAACAGTCTTCTAGTACAGTCTTACTAGTAAGTCTTACCGCACATTCGACTAAATTGAATCACTGATATCGGGCAATAGCCATTACCGGGTACCTTACGTCACTATATGCCCTATAAAGTATCA